ATTTCTGCAGACAAATAGACAGACATAATATAAACACAAGAAACAAAATATGTACATAATTAGTCAAATGGAAAAAAAATATACTAATTAATTTGAATCACAAAATAGATTGTTATTTCAGAGATAGGGAGTGGGTAGGGAGATTGGACCCCCCCCTGGAATTTTCTTTGTTATTTAAACAAGACTATATACTGAAGCAAATAACCAATGACTTTGGACATCCTCCCCCAAACTTAGAAAAACATTGACCCTACTATCATTGTTTTTATTTTGTTTATTTGTTTTCAGTTTATAAGTTTTTTTTCTCCTGCTTGTCAGGAAATTCTAGGCATGAATTTTTTGACTGAGATGTGAACCCCCCTCCCTACTCCCGAAAAAAGCATTCTGGATCCGCACCAGTATTGGCAGTAACTGAATGTCACATCGACAAGGGGAGATAACTTCACAATATGAAATTCGTCTAGTGTGGCATGCGATGATCTTTGACCCTTTTTGAACTTTAACCTAATCGTTTGGGTTTATTTTACCCCCCACTATACTTAAACTTGTACTTACCGACCTCCATAGGTTTTGTAAACTTCATGAAATATAAATCCAATTTATATAACACAAAATGAATTAATCCAATGCACACCAGGGATGGGGTAATTGAAAAAAGTAATTGTATTTGACTGTAATTAATTACATTTTTGAAGTAATTGGATGTAATTTGTAATTGAACATTTTTTCAATTACTTGTAATTGTAATTTAATTAATTACACTGAAAAAATACCATGTAATTTCAATTACTTTTTCAATTACATTCAATTACTTGCATGATATATTTTGCGATTTATTTTACTCTATTGAAAAAAACCTGTTTATCAAATATCTTAGCCCATACAATTTGTGTACATGTACATGTAGGTTTTGTGTGGAGGCAATTGCATCAAACTGAATAGTCTTGAATCTTGAATAGTTCTTTACTGTTTTGTAAATAAAAGTTATGATTTAAACCACAAAGATACACAATGCCTACTAGCATATTATTTATTGTATTGTTTATGCAGAGGTTGCACTTATATACAAGTTAATGATTCCTTTTCTGTATATTCATATGATTATAAAAAATTTCAAAAAATTGAAAATGTAATTTGTAATTTAATTAATTACTTTTGTAAAGTAATTGTAATTTAATTAATTACATGTCTTAGAAAGCCTGTAATTTAATTGTAATTTAAGTGAAGAAAAAGTCAAAGTAATTGTAATTTCATTAATTACATTTTAAAGTAATTGACCCCATCCCTGATGCACACCATTCTGCAGCATGTTATAATGCTATTCCATTCGGAAAACCTTCGTGCCGTCGATTCCGTCACCTTATCAGATGAAGTGGGAATCGGCCGAGGTGTACCGAATGGAGTTTAATCTAAAAATATGATAATGGGTGACGCAACGTGATGTGATGTAGAATTTACATGTCAAGAACAAATATTAAATTAATTCATAACAAACAATGTTTTGATAAAACTGTTCGATCTAGCCTATTCCAAAAAGTATGTACTGTGTGATTGTGGTGTCGAGGGGGGGGGGGTTAGTAAATTTAAAAAGCTCCTATTATGAGCAAAACATTTATCAAAATCTAATTTACATCATTAATAGAATTCAAACTGGTATATAATGAATTAAGCATGTAAAATAAATATAAGAGGTTCTGAGTTATAGGTCACAGGGATAATTTCACATTCAATTTGATGAATACATGTAAATTACAGGCTACCTGTACTATAAGACAATGTCCATTGAAAAGATGGTTGCCCCCCCCCCCCACTTTTTACCACAGTATATACATAGCAAGGAAATATGGGAAAAAAATTGGAAGTGAAAGTAATTTTGCCTTGAAAAAAAGGTGGCCACTCCCCCCCCCCCCCCCCACCCCCCCCATCCTTTTCCTTGTTAATTTTTTTAGGTAAGTAAAAAAAAATTCTCCGGTTGCCCCCCCCCCCCCCCCACTTTCAAAAACGATGCTACGTGCCTGAATTATATAGAATTATCTTGACTTTTTCCTTGGTAAGCCGCCCGTAGGATTGTGTATTTAGAGGCAAATACCTTAGTGCGGGTATTACTGTCTCATGACAGCATCTAGTTCTGGTTTTTATTGTTTTACCTAGAGTGCATTACAATAAGTTTATTCACTTAATACTTTCATAGAAATATTTTAATACGAAAGTTTGGCGATATACATGTATGAACTACTCGCATTTTTCAATTTTTGTTTGTTGATAATTTCGGAAAATCGTATAAGTACTTGTCTGTGTGGTTTTATATATGCTGCAGATTTTTGTATAAGCCTAAATATATCAACTTCTCTTAAACAAAACACACAGTACTGTAATTCTAAGTATTCTGCACAGCACGCTAAAATAGAAACTCGGTAATGATTTGTTAATGTCAATATCAAAAAGACTATTTATTACAAACATTAAAGAAATACGTGCATGATTGTAGGTGCCCTAAAAAATACTATAGTAAACTATAGTTAACTATAGTTTAATATAGTTAACAATGGTAAATCAAAGTTCCAAAGTTTTCAAAATAGTAAATCAAAGTTCCAAAGTTTTACCATAGTAACCAAAGTTCCAAAGTTTTCACCATAGTAAATCAAAGTTCCAAAGTTTTTTTCTATAGTTAAACAAAGTTCCAAAGTTATCACCATAGTAAATCAAAGTTCCAAAGTTTTAACTGTAGTAAATCAAAGTTCCGAAGTTTATGTCATAGTTATTCAAAGTTCGAAACTTTTTACCATAGTTATTCAAAGATTTAAGTTTTTTGAAATTACTTTCACAATTTTTATAATAAAAATAAGTTATTTTTATTATCATTTAAATGTTTTAAAGGGAAAGATATTAGTCCTGTTCTGGCTGATTTTGTTGTTCATCTTTAATTTTAACATGCAAAATAATTAATGAAAATGTAATATTTACATCGAGCAGTGTTGACTGAAGCTAAGGAAATATTTTTATTCTAAATGACACAAATTTTATCTTAGAGTAAGTTTTTTTCTACATAAATAAGGTTTACTTTTTATCCCTACAACATTAAAATTAAATAAATTTGAATAAATATTGCTTTTTTATTGGAGCAAGAGAAAATCTTTACATTAAAATTCATTTCTTTTACATAATTCTTAAGGGGACGGTTTGGGTTTTTGTAATAGTTCTCTAGAGCCTTGATGAATTCTAACCTTGACATTTTATAAATTGTATAAAAACATTATTCCAGAGGTTTGATAATACCTGATTAAAGTTGCAAATTTTCACCAAAGTCAATTAAAGTTCCAAAGTTTTTACCATAGTAAATCTCTTATGAAAGTTTCGAACTTTTTACCATAGAAAATGAAAGTTCCAAAGTTTTTACCATAATAAATCAAAGTTCCAAAGTTTTCACCATAGCAAATCAAAATTCCAAAGTTTTCACCATAGTAAATCAAAGTTTCAAAGTTTTCACCATAGCAAATCAACGTTCCAAAGTTTTTACTGTAGTAGTAAATCAAAGTTCCAAAATTTTCACCATAGTAAAACAAAGTTCCAAAGTTTTAAAGGATGAGGTGACTTGCGGCCCCTCGTTTACTGACAAAAAATTAAATGTCTAACTTTTACTCAAATTTTTGTATGTAACTAGTCACTAATATATGTACCTTTATATAATACTATTTTTAACAAAAATGGAAACGTGATTTGAAAGATATAGGTCTTTTATTGGGGTAGGGGTATCACGTTTACATTCAATTCCCATTGCATTTTAACCCCGCCCCACTCTTTGAAGCCCTTAAAATATAAGAGCGCATGTAGGTACAATTTTCTCATTTGACTGGTCACTATATTTTATTGAAATTTACCTATATGTGAAAGGAGAAAGTTGTACCTAACTGCGCTCACGTGCTATTTTTCAAAAAATTGTAAAATCTAGTTGCCCTTTCCCATTATAAACAGATCGACGGAACTAGATTTTCTGACGTAAGAATGAATTCATATGCTAATCGAGGCACAGGCGATACTTTCTAACTGACCAATCAGCTAAATGAAATTCGTTACGAGTGAGTACCATAAAAATACTATGGAAACATGCTTGGAATTTTACTGTTTTCCGATATCTTTTTATGCATTTGAGTCAAGATAAGACACGAATCTACATATCTACCATTTCCGAGACCACAGTAAAATTCGTACACAGTTACAAACAATTGTTAGAATATACATGATATACATTAGTTTAAAGTTTTGTAACGTGTTTGGTGAGCAATTCGCTAGGTCTACACGTATCTCGAGTATCGGTGAATACAATTTTCATGTGCATTTCTTGTCCTAAAATCCGTAAATGCCGAAAATCCATGCGTAATATTAAGTATAAGCAGCATTGGCTGACCATTATAAAAGTTTGAAATGTAGAAAAGGATAACAGGTAAATTGACCTAAAGCACGTGTGTGCGATAAAATGTCAACGTAGTATACCAGCATGTTTTGTTGTTCTGTCATCGGATTGGACAATGACCAAGTGCGAAATAATAACAATAGCCATATAAGGTATTCTCGGACACGCATATCTCTCTATTGTACTAAGACCCGCCCATTCTCTTGCCATAAAAGAAAATATATGCACAAACCTGGCCGAATTTAGCTGTGCTAGGGTCTAAAAAATCAAAGATAATGCAGCATTCCTTATAATTAAAATGTGCCTGAACTATTGAAACTATTTGAAAGGCGTCGTATTTATTTACTCATGTTTGAAAACTACCAACATCGTCGTAGATTAAATATAATCCGTCGTGGAAAAAGGGGCCCCAGATAGCAGTTATGTCACATCATCCTTTGGAATTATAGTTAACTATAGTAAACTATAGTTTACTATAGACTTTTTTTGTTTGGGGATCTACAACATATGATTTGTAAAGATAAAATCATAGTGTAAGATAGTTGACCAGTTTACATATCTATAAATGACAATTTTATCAACATCTTTCAGATGAAGTTTCTGATTACTGAGTGGATCATATCAATTATATTTGGTCCAAACATACTATGGTCTTAACAAGGTAGGTAAATTAATTCTTACAGACCCATGTGTGTTGTTGAATGTAAAGGATATGGAATTCGCAATTAAAAGAAAGATTTAAACAATACACAACAGTTAAAATTTTCAAATTTAAATTATCACAACAGGATAGGGATGATTTCACAACAATGATTATTATTAAAATGCTTATTCGTGATATACTGTATTTTATTTTGTCTAGAATCATAGGGGACATTTATTGGAAATATAAATATTATTGCTTATAAAACCAAATAATTGTTCAAACGTAAACACATTAGACATTGTATAATTAATAATTGAGTAAATATTTAAGTCTGTAATTCCTAATGCATCGGTGCATGTATTTAAATAAATAATGAAATTCATTTCCTATTCCCTTATAAGGAAAAATTTACAAATTCTATTTTCTATTGCAATATTATATCATTTCCCATTTCAATTGGAAGTTTAGCAATGTTTGTTCTAAAATTGCAATATTTCATAGAAAGTAAGGTGAATTTAACAAATACATGTATTTGTCAACAGTTGATATGTTTTTTTTTAATTCTTAACCATCTAAAACAGTTACTGAAATATTTTGGTGAACTAAAGATGTCATTTCAGCACAATTGTTTAAATTGATATTAAAAAATAGTTTGCTCCTTTTTCTTAAACCATGCAATATGGAGAATGCTGTGTTGGTATCAATACATACATAAGTGAGTCCTAAATCATGATTAAATATTTCTAAGACATATAAAATTATTTTGATGACATTTTTTTCCTTATGATGCAAGTCTTGTCCAGTAAAAAATCAAACGTAATTTGATATAAGAAGATAAGGTATATCTACTATACTTTCCAAACATGTATACCATAAACCTTGGTCGGAAGACTTCATATTTAAAATATGTTTACAAAAATTTAGAAAAAAAAACATGGACGACTGAAATTTGATGTTTATGACATTCCTTTTGAAAACCATTTTAGCTATTGAAAACTGAAGATTGGTGACATGTTTTGCAAGAATTTTTAAAAAAAATAATTTTAAATGTTATAACACCCCCACCCCACCCCACCCCCCTCCCACCCCCCCAAAAAAACAAAATAATATCACTACAGAAGAATTATACTTTTAAGGAGTAAAAAAAAATTATGCACAAACTGTTAGCATTTTGGAAATACCTTGAAGTTCATTTTTTTCTGTGTAATAAAAAAGCAAAGGTACGCTGTTTTCACAGATTTCGATCATTTAATTTCGCTATAGCGTAACGCAATGAGGTTTGTTTAATGAAATTTTATTTATATAAATTCTGACACTTTCATAGAAATCAGAACGGACTCAGGAATTAAAAAAAATACATATTAACATAAGATTGAAATTTTATAATGATGTTTAAATCAAATTAACTTAATTTTAAATTTACAATTTATCGATATCTTTTACTTCCTGCTAACATGCAGTATATAACTATTTTTACGTAGTGTATCAACTATTCTCAAAATTTGTCAACGATTAGGAAATCATCAATTAACACTGACAGTTAGTTCTTTGAAGAGATCGCTATGAACACTTTACGAATATGTGGTTTATAATTTAGGTTGGTAAAATTTCTATCTTTCAGATAGGGATACAAAGTGTAGATACAGTGTCCATCTTCCAGAGGCTTCATGGCATGCAGCATATAATGTGTGTGCTTCAAGTAACAAGACACTGGTGACACTGACATCACTTACTGAGATGTACTATATAGAACTAGTCCTGGAAGAAGTTGATGAATTACTCGGAAAAAAATTCAGTTTAAAGTATTTTGCTTCTTAACAAAATATTGAAGATATTTGAAAATTACTATAGATGAATTAAGCAAAATTCTTCTGCATCAAGTGAAATCAGTATTGAAATAACATAATGATTCTTAGTATGCTGTTTAAAAGTAAACAGACAAGTTTTTCAATCTTCTTTTTTTTAGATACTCAGAAGGCCTGTGGGTTGGGGCTTTTTTGAGTTCTTCTAATAATGAAAGTATGCTAGAAAACTGTGATCATCTTTATTCCGAAATCCCGGTAAATTTAACTGGTATAAGCCCCGATGGGTTGTTTTGTCTTTATTACAATCCAGAAGAGCAGAATCTTGTCACGGAAAACTGCACTTCAGAAAAAATGTTTATCTGCGAAAAAGATGATGAAGGTAAATTGTGCTTTCTTTTCTAACAAATATATGTCTCAATCTTACTTAAGGACAAAATTGTTCTGATAAAATCAAGAACATTACAATCTAATTTTAAAAAGTTTAATATCAAGGGGGTTAAAGAGGGAAACGCAACAAAAACGGCTATTTAACAAATGACATAACATGGGTCTAAAAATTATCACTCCTCTAATTCGGATTTTCTTCAACAATCCTTAAATTTTCATTTCATTCATTTTGTTATCTATTTGATACTCTAGTACGTGTAGCTTCTTAAGAAAAATGCAACGATTTATGATCCCTACTTTGTAGTTATTAATCAAAATAAGCGATTAAATACAATTTATTACTGAGTAAAATCTTGTCTGGCGTTTTTTATACTAATTTTTAGATCATTATATACACAATGAATTTAAGACGGATTTTCTCGTAATAATCCTATCATGACAAAGAGCAGGTGACGGTTTATCTGGTCGGCGCTGGGGATGCTCACTCCTCCATAACACCTAATCCCATGCTCACTCTTCCAAAGCAACCGATTTGGTGATCCAGGTTTGCTCAGCATCTGTTTTGTTCGATGAAATTTTGAATAATGTTCATCAGATCAATGTACTTCATTTGAGGGTATATAAATTCTCATTTATTAACAAGAGATCATTAAGACTGAATGTGTTTCATCAGGTTAAGTATAACCAACTTGGGCTGTTTCATATATATTTATGATTATTTAATTGGAAATTAAAAACGTTTTACAATAAAAAAAAGATGATTAAGGATAAGATGTTATATTATTTTATACATGTATTTAATTTCACGACTTGTTAACCCGCTTTTTCTTTCCTGAAGAAGGGACACGAAATCTGGAAAGTTGATGGAAGCAAGCAAGTTTTAGCCGCCACTGTTCTGCATTATTTACTTATCTATCCTTTTATCTGTCTACATATTTATGGTTATATATCATTTTAGATTTTGGAGAATGCATGATCAATTCATCAATATCAGCATTGCAAAACCAAACTCAGTTGTGCAATTTTGTCAATAATCCAGATACAGATTTAAATCAGTGTGAAAAAAATTGTTTAGAGAATGCAGTATGTTATACAGTTTCACATAAGCACCAAAATAACGTATGTCAGCAGTACAAGTATGATGATAAGGAATCGTGTGATTTAACAGCAAGACGACCTCTGCCAATTTCCAAATACAAAAGTAAGCAGTTAAACAACACAATATTTTTTTTCTTTTATAATTGATAACCCTTTTATTACCACCAAATTAACTTTCTTTTAAAATTGAAATACATCACCATCAGTGGTTGATGTGTGAGGGATATTCCGTATGGACAACTTTTATGATTGAAATGATAATTCGATAAGTTAACGTCCTCATCAGTTATTGAACTAACTTATGAAATGTGAAATATTCCTTGTTACTTCTACATGTCCTTTTTAAAGACTTTCTCAATTCGTATTTAATTTGTTGTATTTAATGCTAGTAAATCATCTTTCCATCTAATTAAATAAACCTTTCTGATTCCTTGATTTTAGGTATTTTTCTATACACCAGTGCTGGGTATCCCCCATCAGAGGACGTGCCTCTCGATCAATGGTGTCCAGGTACGTGCCGATTGATATTATAAAAAGAAATGAGAATAACTACAGTCTCCTAACGTTTTAGAAATTGATGGGCTCGGGGAAAATATAGTAAATTAATTAAATTTGGAATTTTCAGTCCCAATCAGTCATTTTTTTTTTCTATGGGTATTTCACTTGATTTAACATCAATAATTGTATTTTTAATATAAAACACTATAATTCAGTTTTAATATTTATTTCTTCTCATTTTACGATTTTATGAAACCCGAATAACATTAATCGGGTCTATCACCCGGGTTTTATCAAGTCCTTCAGCAGACCTCTCGTATTAATCACTATTAATTCATTCTAGGAAATATAAGAATTTTGTGAATTCTTATCAGCTGACTTAAAACGTCATATTACATGATAAATAACTATGTAGCACACAGTAACTGATAAAAAATATAAGCAATTCTTCAGATTGATTCAAGAAGATGTTTTATTTCCAAATCAAGGTTCTTTGAGGCATCAATAAAAATCAGGTTCGATTCAGTTACAACAAACATTCTGAGAGAATTGCACATTAAGTAATACACGTTCCCTACGGGGTTCCCCTTTATCTGAAGGATGCCACTTTACAGTATACAAAACTTTTGTCTTTTCTTGCGTCATATTAACCATGCTGACCTTCGAAATTTAGTGCATCACGAAACCGATCTTACACCATTATGAAAAACTAAAAATGCCCTAATTCTGTCAAAAATCAATGAAGCATAACGAAATTAAAACTTGATCTGTAACTCATCAAGGTACACTTACATTCCAAAGAAACAGCTCAAATTCTGCAAGTGTTAAGAAAAAAAGAGCGGAAAACCAAGAAGGACAGACTGACGGTGACAGACAGACGAACAGACAGACGCAAAGGAAACCTATAGTCGCCTTCGTTTTCACCGTTATGGGACTGATAAAGCAAAACATTACATTTTCATTAATATTAATACAACACTTTTTTCCTGACTTTTTTTGGAGAGGGATCTTCAATCATTTTATTCCCTCTCCCCAAATGTGTATTTATAGATCTGATCCAAATTTCAATAATGATATATTTTTCATGCATAACTTTTTGACGTTTTGTCTATATTAAACATTTAAAAATAAATCCAAAGAAAGTATGATTTTTTTTTCCAATGCATAACAAGTGCAAATAAATCAGCATTTAATGGTCCTCTTTGTTTGTCATCGATAACTGAAAAATAAATAATGCATATATTGTGCAAATCTTGTTTGAGAAACCAAAAGGAAATCATTCGGATTCAATTATCTCTTCGAGTATCGGCAAAATTTTACTGTATAATGCTTTCTGTAAAACGATATTTAGGAATATTCAAGTTGTATTTTTTATATGATAGACACACGTGTTATTTTATTTAAAATGCTTTTTACTATGTTCACAGAAGTGAATCAGAAAGATATTCAAGAGAAGATCGCTAATATGCAGAAAAATTTAACTATCAATCGAAAAGAAACAAATCAGTACACGCGCACTTTGACTAGTGCCCCGGATGAGAGGACCTCTTCAAAGAATATCGGAGTCCTTGGGGCGTTTGTAATTGGTGCAGTGGGAAGTATTTTTCTCCTCTCCGACTGCATAAATATTATCATTTGGATACAAAATAATCGTGTACACGCCAGAAATATTTGACTTTTTCAAGGAAAACTGGATGTAGAGCATAAACATGAAAAAAGGCAACATCATTTTAGACGATATGTTGTCGACAATACTTAGATTGCATTGTCTGCTTACGATAAATGTAACAAGATGGTATTTTAATATATGTACATGTCATATTACAATATTTACTATACATGTAATTAACTTCTATATTTTTTTTTTAAGCGCTAAGCGCGCATGCGCAAGCGATTTATAAGGTGTCTTCAGATTTTCACG